GAGGAGCAACTGGGACAAAACCGGTGCCCCAACGGAGACTAGAATCTGGGGTGGCGGCACCGCAGGCAGAGGATTAGCCTATTGAGCTGTGGCGCTGGCCAATATCTCCATTTTCTAATGTCCACTTGACTCCAAGGGGTAATTCTGGGCCTTTTAATTGGCTCTGCATATTTTTGGATGAGACTTCTGGTACGCAGCACAATCATTTAGGAGCAGGTCATCTTTCCCATAAATGAAGGTTTCTTCAGGATTTCCCTGTTTTTGCTATTTCTCCCCATATTGAGAAATGAAATTCCAGCAATTTAACTTTTTCCTTTCCATCAGCCTTGTATTGCTCACTTCCGTTTATTTGACAAGTCCTGATTATTCTTCATCATTTGTATACTGTTTCTCCATTACATCAGGTCAATATTATCCTTAGAGTATCCCATCACTTGATATGTTTCTATGCCCATTTGCTGAATATATCCAGGCTGAAGAACTTACCTAAGTCTACACATGTTTAACCTCATGATCCCATCACTTGGTTGTATTTTTTCACTTTTAAATTCAGAAGTCCAAGAATTTTGTTTCCATATTAGTCAACTCAAACACTGACATATATTCACCTATCTACCTAGTAACCAAATTGGGAACAATAGCCAAAGTCAGCCTACTCTATTGACTATCTGAATCTCTGATGTGCCCATGGATTTCAGCTGGCTTCTTGCTCTCATGGCTTAGTATTAACACTAGTACTAGTCTTAGCCTTTGAAAGTAGAAGCTACATGTTGTAAGGGCAGATATGCTTTTTCATCCTGAGAACATCAAGTATGCATTCAAAGGACTTACCATGATGGTAAATAAGGGAATAATTCTGAATGGTTCTGTCCTTTGTTGAATTACAGAGTTGCAGAAATAGATGTTTGTGTTGTAGAGGTAGTTGCAATTCAAACAACAGGTATAGTGTAGAAAGAAGTAATGGCCATGAGCTGATCTTTAAGATGTGCATGTCCTGCAGAGAAAAATTCATTTACTCATGAATATATTTACTTACCCAGCACATACTATGTACCAGAGCTGTGGTAGAGACTTGAATCACAAAATGAATAAGGCTTATTGCTTTTTTTCTAAGCATCCTGATATCTAGAAGGAGAGACATGTATATTTAATTATGTACATAATTAGAATATATACTTTGTAAGATTATTTTGAGGACTGAATGAATAGATGCACTTAAAGGGCATAAAAAGTACCTGGAAAATAGAACACTCTCTATATACATGTTTGCAGTTCATTTTACAATGAGCTTTAATTATGTTCAGCTGCTAGGGGACTACAGAGTTTGCTGTGCATATAAATGTCCATTCATATTCACAGGAAACTCTAACTAGGACTTCATACCACTGAGTCCTTGTCCGTTCATTTGCTCATTCATTAAAAATACTTATTTAACAACTTATGACTACTCAGATTATGCTAAGGATAGGGTAAAAGGAAAGACAAGACAAAGTCTTCAGCCTCAAGGTGCTCATATTTCTATTTGTGCAGTACATCAGTTAGAGAAGCATTGCAATTTTTGGGCTCCCTACGTCCCTTCTTTTTTTGTTGTCAGTGATAAATAAATGTGGGAAATTTGATTTTTTTGAAATAAAGAAAAAATGTATTCTAGTTACTGGAGACTGTCCTGGGCTTAACCTGATACTGATTAAGTATTCTTCGCAGTCTCCATTGACAGGACCGCAGCAGTGTAGACCATGAAATGTGACACTAAGCTCTGAAAGACCCAGCTCATCAGAGAGGATGTATTTTCAATTATCACAGGTTTTATTATTAAATATATTTTTCTAAATCCTTAGAAAATTGGTGACCCATAAATGGCTAATTTTAATTAAGTAGAATATCCTAATTTAATTCAAAAGATACTGGGGAAATACACCAGGTCTGAAATCTAAAGATGAAGAGTTGATCCTGGTTTTATCACTTGCTAGATTTGTGACTTTGAGTAAATAATTTAACTTCTTCATTTGTGAGCTAATATGAATAAATACTGTACAGGTTAGATCTGAGGTTTCAAAAGATATTATATTCCAGAACACTTACTAAAATATCTAGGACATAGGAAACACTAGCCATATTTTAAATGGAGGTGGTTGCACATGTGTATCTGTATATAAGTAGGCTCTGTGTATGTAAGTATGTATACTATGACCCTTTTTATTCATATTGCTTCTCCTGACTCCACTGAGCATTTGAGTTCTGTTTCCTTTGATATGTCACAAACCACAAGTTTTTCACACATTTTTCTTGATGTTAGCTACTAACAGGTGCTATGTTATTTTGTCTTTTATTACCTGAGTTGCAAAAAGTTTACAAGTACTCAGTAGACACACAATAAATTCATATAGGGCCTGTATTCCTAGATACAATTCTGTGTCCAACATATTGGAAAATCCCCATGGTTTCTGAATAGCTTATCTGGGTTAGATATTAATACACTACAGATTCTTAGAGGTCAGTCATCTATTATAATGGCTATGGGCTATTCCTTCATCACTACTTTATGCAAGCAATATACTCTTTTATGCAAGCAACTTAATATCCTTGCAACAGCAAATTGTCATGTGACATGCTCTAGGAGGGATCTGATATCAATTTGTCAAGCATGATTTAGGAATAATGAAATCCATTTGCCCCAGCTATGGTGGTGAGGATACTAAGCAATAGATGAGGTGTTACGGTCGAGGTTCCTTCTTACTCCACTTATTCCTTGACTTACTAAACAAGGGCATTTCCTCTGTGAATTATATTGAAGGCTAGCTCTTCCCTTAGAGGCTGTAGGATTCTCATCAAAATAATTTAATGATGAAAATGATGCCGGTCTAATTGAATTCAGTGTGAACTTAGAGTCATCACCTTAGGGTGGGTTTAGCCTGTAGCACTTAATATTCTATGCAGTTGCTCAGCTTTGTGGCAAAGTTAGAGCTCTTGCCATTGCAGCCTTTAGCTTAGGAAAGTGTTTTTTCTTTTTTTTAATACAGAGACTGGGATGCTGGGACTATGCCTGGAATTGAGATAAATATAGGCATTCTCCTTGACCACTTAGGAGCTTTTCAAGCCTGACCCCTCATCAGCAAGTAAAAATAAACTCAGCAGGTCTCAATAAAACCGACTTTAGAAACTAAACGTCGATTTTTTTTCTTTGCCTTCAAAGGTTCATGTTCTTTATTTAAAGAACACAACCAAACTCTCACAATATCCTCCTTAGGAAGCAGTTTTAATGAGTATCAGTAGGATTCCCAAGTCTCTGACATGGAATTTACTTGCAAATTGATTTTTAAAAATTGAGTTGGAAGCTCAAAAGACAGAACTCCCTAACTCAGCCTGCTGTGATACTCTGCTCACCTCCCCTTTGTCTGATTCTACTTCATTTAACCGATGATGTTTTAAGGGCTAAGGCTCAGCCTTCCATTTCATTTCACTGGGTCTCTGAAAGACAATCTAATGTTAAAATTGGCCCATTATCTAGACCCGTTTAATTTGCGCCTTAAAATGACTTTGGAAATAAGTTTTGATTAAAAAGTTACACCAGTGATGCATTTTCAGTATCACAAAGCAAAACCTATTTGAAGAAGTTATTCCTGCATGGCAGATTGAGCAGAAGCCTTAATTCCCCTCAGTAAGTGTGTAGGCAACAAGAATTTAGGGGGCTGGTGAATAAACAGGAAGCCATAAAAATCACAGACATCTTTGCTATCTGTCTTGTTTTTCCACCAAATGGATTGTGCAGTCAAAAATTACAACCACAATTGCATGTAAAGTATTTTAAGAATGAACACACACATTTTTTTTCTGAAATAACTATTAGTAACCAAGAAACATATGCTTCAGTGAATGCTTTTAGTTGAATCATAAACTGCATTTCCAACAACTGTCTTTTCAAAGCCAGTTGAGACAGCCACACAAGAGGATGCTAAAGCAAATCAAGCTCTCACAGAGCCCATCTGTGTCTTCACTGTGGGTCTCCAGCCACTTCTTTTCCCTGCAGTTCCAGCAAGCTGCAGTGTCTGCCTTGTTAAGAGAGGCTGTGTTCTCTTCAAATATGCAGCCAATCGTTTTCTAAAAGTTAAAGAGAAAATGCAGACCCTTATTTGCTGTTTTGAAACTAGGTAGTTCATCACTGAAAATTTGCTGAAAATGTCAAATTTTACAAAAACTTAGTTTCTCCTTTTATTGGGTACTTAATATTTGCAGTGTTTCAACTGTGCTATGATTGCAGGCCTAGGGGGTAAGGCACCCACAGCAATAACAGAAAAATTAAAAAAAAAAAAACACCAAAAACCCAAAACCTGGAAAATGGGAGTCAGGTTGATGTTGGAGGCTGTGATTGGATGAAGAGAAAATGTGAAACACCTGTGCAGCATGCCCCAAGCCTGGTAGCCAAAGTTACAGCAGAGCCTAGATGCTGTTGCAGAAAGGGGTCGGTTCTCTGCAAAGAGCTAAGGTCAGTGACTTGCATTCTAGAACAAGGCCAAGTCAATCTGTCGAGGAAGTAGGAAAACGCCTGTTCCATCCAAATCCATTGACTTGTGCTGTGTGATGAGGCATCTCCTTAAGGCCCAAGAGCCTGCCTTCGCAAGACGAGAGGATTTCCTGCAGTATTAAAGTGCTGGGGGCTACAGAAGAGGAGTCACCTTTCAGTCTTATAAAATGCAGGAAAGGCAACTAATATAATTCATAATAGGAGCTGATAAAAATGACGTTAATGTTAGTAAAAAATGTCATATACAGAAGCAAGACAATCCTGACTGTTAACAATAAAATTATGTGAAATGGTCTAACGTTGAGATCTCCCTACAAACCTGCCCCTCATACTTGTGTTGTGTGTAAAGCTACAAATAGAAGCTGCTGCCTGTAACCTGTGATGCCCCCTTCCTGTCCTCCTGCTTCTATTTGCACCTGGCTTTGCTCCCACTGGATATCCAAGTTTAGGTCACAGCATTACCATTGGCCAGACCACCCTGGCCTTTGCACCGTGCATAGAGGATCTCGCATACCAGCAGTGTGGCTGGTGCTTGGGAGAATGGACGGGGTAGCAAAAACCTCAGGTCCTGGAAGTAGACTTGAGGGCATCCAGGTGAGTAACTTTAGTTAGGAGTAAGTAACTAGCAGATAGAATGGTGGGGAGCAGGGTAGTGTGGGAGTTAGGAAAGAGAAGGGCTCCAGGCAGGAATGTTCTGTTAGCATAATGTTTTTCTTCATTGTAGGGAGAGTAACACCTGGACAAGAGCCAAAGTGAGGTTTTCTAAAGCTTATGGGTGAGCCTGCCTGCTTCTCATTTTCCTACTGTTAACTGATAACCTGGCAAAGGAAGCCTTTCACTGCCTAGTCTCCCTCCAGTGTCATCTTCCTCCTGTCTCCCTCGTATTATTCTCCAAAGACCTAAAATTTCTTGCCATTCCACCAGGACGTGTTGTATCATTTCCTGTGTTCTTCCATCTTTGGGGGAAAAATCCCTTTAGGCCTGGAGAGATGCTAAGAGTTTTTGAAAACTCAGCTCCCACTCAGACTCTGGGAAGTTTCCTGGCTTCCTCAGAGGAGTTCTCTGTATCCTCCCTCAGGTACTGTAGTGCTTTGTACTCTTATTTTAGCACATGCATTATATTTTAATAATTGGTTTCTTCTTTTTTTTTCTGTCTCTTTGAGTCCTCAGCAAAGACCCTGGCAAATAATAAGTAGTCAGTGTTTGTTGAGTGGATTAGTTAGCTGAACTGACCCTTCTATCTTGTTGAGAAGTAGACTTGAGATTCCCTCCCTAAAGTATGTCTCACCTCAATTTTCTCTCCCTCCCCTTCATGGCACCTTATTTCTTAACTGTATTAATTTCCACTTGTCTCCTAGCTCCAACTATCCATTTACTGCTATGTTCCTGCATTCATTTTAGGTATCTAGGTTTTTGGTTTGATTTATATGACTCTTTTTAAAAAAATCTAATAATTTTAATTTATTTGAAAGGCAGAGAAATTAAAAAAAGAGACTCTTAGCTTTTTATTACTTTAAAATATTTGAGAAGAGCTTCTTGGGAAGGAAATGGTTTATTTTGGCTTATAGTTTGGAGGTCATGGTGAAGGATCAAGCAGCCCCATTGCCCAATGCCCAGTGGTTTGGCAACAGTATAGTGGGTCTCTAGGTACAATCCCTGGGTGAGCCAAGGGGAGAGAGAGCGCGAGTGAGCACTAGGCTGAACTCCACTCAAAAATAACCAACATTTTCTCAAGAGTTATATTCTGAAATTGACACTTTGAGATGCAATGATGATGACATTGAACAGCCCTTGTCTTGACTGTTGAGTTACAATTTTTTTTTCGTACCATTTGTAGAACACTTTACTTAGCATAGAGTTAATATTATGTTTATAAATTTAATCAAAAATAGATCTTAGTAAAATATTAGAATAGGAATAGGAGAGGGAAGAGGAAGAAAGGTGGGAGTTTGGGTGGAAGTGTGGGTAGGGTGGGAAGAATTACTATGTTCCTAAAGTTGTATTTATGAAATGCATGAAGTTTAGATACCTTAAATAAAAGGTTTCTGGGGGAAAAAAAGAGTTACATTCTGAGTGCTAGCCCTGGTAATCTAAATACCTCCTCCCAGATACTTCTCAGATGTCATAATTAGATCAAGTCTTAACATTAAATTTCAGAGTTTAAACATTTGCATGAGTATTGGGTCTCCAAGTCCTGTTCATTACATAACAGAGACACAGAAGAGAGGGAGATTTGCTGTCTATTGTTTCACTCTCTAAAAACTGCAACAGCTGGGGCTGGGCCAGGCTGAAGCCAGGGACCAGGAACTACTCAATCCTAGTCTCCCACATGAGTGGCAGACACAACTACATGAGCATCATTTGATGCCTCCCAGGGTATACATTAGCAGGAAGCTGGATGAGAAGCAGAGTTGGGACTTGAACCTAGGCACTCCAAAATGAGATATGGACATCCCAAGTCGTGTCTTAGCCATTGCACCAAATGCTCACACTTTTTTGTTTGTTTGTTTGTTTGTTTTTGCTTTTCAAGAAAATAAGTGACAGACTTGAATTGGTGAAGTGAGAGCTACTAATGGAAGAAATTTGAGTGTCCTAGCTAATGGGTATGTCATAATAAGGAAAGGTTGATTTGGCTAGTTAGTCTTCACACTAGTTGAGCCAGTAAAAGCAACCACAGATAGTTACCCTTCTAGTTGCTTTTGATAGCTGAGAAGTGGAGTTATATTCAAAAGAAAAGAAATTAAGAGCTTATGGGATTTTAAATATCACCCATTATTATCCTCTTATTTAACAGCTCAGAAAATTGAAGTATCAAGATGATAACAGTAGGTAGTGATTGAGCCACAATTAATACCCAGGTCAATTTTTTGCCAATTGTAATTTTATTTTTGCTAGTTTCAACTCTTCTGTGCTGACTAACTCCAACTGTGTTTGTACTTTACCTCACTTAATACATTGTTTGGAGTATTTTTTTTTACCTTACTTGAATCTATATTAATAGTTTACTCATTTATTTATGATCTTTATTGATATTAATGGTGAAGCCAATGAAAGGCATTGCACTAGACCCTAGGGATACAGTCAAGAATTCATGTGGGTCTGACACTCTAGCATAACAGGTAAAGCTACCACCTGTAGTGCTGGCATCCCATATGGGTGCTGGTTCGAGTCCTGGCTGCTCCCGTTTCAATCCAGCTCTCTGCTATGACCTGGAAAGCAGTGGAGATGGCCCAAGTGCTTGGGCCCCTGCACCTGAATGGGAGACCCAGAAGAAGCTCCTGGCTCTTGGCTCTTCAGATTGGTTCAGCTCTGGTTGTTGTGGCCATCTGGGAGTAAACCATCCAATGGAAGTCTGTCTCTCTCTCTTTCTCTCTCTCTCCTCCCTCCCCCTCCCTCCCTCCGTTCCTCCCACCCTCACCCCCTTCCAGCCTCTGCCTTTCTGTAACTCTGCCTTTCAAATAAATAAATAAATAAATCTTTAAAGAAAATCTTATAAAAATAATTCATTGTGCCTTAGCAGAGATAATCACACAGTACTGAGAGTTATAGTTGCTAATTCATCTTGGAAGATGGATAATGAGGTGGGTTTCAAGAGGACAGAACATCAGATCTGGGTCTTGAAGGATGCTGACTCTCTGGGCAGTGATGGGAATAGACCTTGAATAATGCAAATGAGAACCTATGTGCCAAATGATGTGATCCGTTTATGGATGGCTCCTTTGAATACAGTAGAGTCACAAATGGAAGACAGGTAAAAGATACTGCAAGGGAGTTGACGGTGCAAGGATTTGAATCCCTGCTCTGATTGATTGACTTAGGTTATTTGAGACTTAGTTCCTTCTCCTATTCAATGCATTAATAATACTTACTTAACAGGATTCTTACAGGGATTAAATGAGATAAAGAAGTTAAATTCTCTACTATGAATCCCTTCCCACTTCAGAGAAAGTCATTCTCTGATCGGTAGGAACTGTGAATGAAGCTTCCAGGTAGGTATTAAGGTCTAAGGCTGGTTTCAGTCTTCTGCTCTCTCTCCAAAGTTCTAGACCATATAAGAAACTGGAAATAAACATGAAATTTGAGAAACAATTAAAATATCAGCTTTAATATTGGTTAAGCTATGTTGGAAAGCTGTATTGCAGAACAGATAGGAAACTGCAAGTTCTCTTTAGATTCAGAATCATTAAAACAACATATTTATGTTTTAGCAATCAGTTAAAGATAGTATCTTGAAATGAAAACAATGAGATAGGGCAGCAAAGGGCACAAAGTCACATTTTGGAATGAATTGGCCACCTGGTAGTTGTGGTTTCAGTTCCCCTCCTTGAGGGAGTTTTATTTGTCTTTGTCTTGCTGAACTCAGAAATGAGCGCATGAGAAGTGGTGGACCACGCAGTATGGTGAAGGTGGAAGTGGAATGCATTATTTGAAGGGGAAGGAATGCATTACTTGAAGGAAGGGGAGGCTTTAAGAGCGAGTCTCTCTTTCCTTCAATACCTTCACAAGCTATAGTCCAGATCAAGCTGCTCCATAGCGTGGGTCCTGGAGTGAAGATGATACCTAGCGTAGCAGTGGCTGACCCTCGATAGCCATGCACCTTGACCAGAAATCCATGTCTTATGAGCCGCTGAATTTATTGCACAGTTACTGCACCAAAATTTAGCCTGACTTGACTGATTAATAGTTGCTATATCATACCATGAAATCAATTATAATTTAATCCAACAGTTCAAGTCTATCCACAAATCTATACTTGTCCACATTTGCGTTTTGGAAGAAGTTGCACAGGAGGCTGTTCGGTGTCTTTTTGTCTTGCTTTTGAGATCTTGCAAACATCAGGAATACTGCATGGCTGCTTCCATCCCTCACAATGATAAGCTTCGATGAGAATGAATATCTGATCTTTTTCTACCTCAGTTAATTTTTTACATTTTTAATACTTTTTTGTATTTGAGTAGTCCACCGTAATATCTGATGTAGGAATTTGTTTTTTTCTTTATATATATTACAGATCAGTCTTAGCCTATGACATGTCACTGACCATGGGAAAGTATCACACAAACCATGTGTTGTATTCTGTTTGTGTTACACAAAAATACTAGTTTTAAAGTGAAAAATGTAGTGAGATGACAAATTTTGTGTCCACAGAATATTTTTTTCAATTATAAGAAAGTTCTATCACTTCTCTGCCATTTGGCTAAGAACAAGTATAAAAAAAGTTCTGATTTTGGATTTTTAAATATATTGGTCTAACTAATGTACATAATAGTTATTTGATATAATTGTGTACAACTAATCAATAAGGGTGATATAAAACAGTTGTTATAATCTGACTGGTTAGAGAAAAGAACAGAGATCAGGCCTATCATCTTTAAATATCACCTCAAATTTTTGTATCACTTCTGTAGTTTTTTATCTGGCAACCACAGATCATGCAAGTAAATGAGTCCATCCTCTAACCAGTAACAATAATTGGGCATTAACTGTTCAAGTTATTCTGAGTATATTTGAAAGAAATGGGAAAGGGATATTTCATTTTTAAGGAAATTATATTTGAGATATTATCACTCACATGGAAGAAATGTTATCATCTGCAAATAAATGCTGAAGACTACATATAGGGAATTGCTGGCAGGGTTCAGAATTAATGGCAGGAAATATTAAATGGTAAAAGGATTAATATCATATTAGAAAATAAATGAAACATGATCTAAGCTGGCCTCTGCATTGTCACTATATTTGAATTGCAGCTGAAGGAGTGCGTTAATATAATTAGGGAAAAATCCCAATGGAAATTAGCAGACTCAGTACAATGTAAATGTTTTTTAATGACTATAGAGACCTTATAAGTGATACTCTCATTATGATGCTAACTGTGTAGACTAACACTTCTTGTCACATTCAACAAGATCAAAGTTCTGCAAGGATTGTTTCATTTAAATATCAGCCGGTATGGAATAAAAAGGCAATACGATTAGAGACCACACACCTTGATGTAGGCATGAGTGCCTTTAGCTACTATACTTATAAATCACTTGCAAGGAAAAACTTTTTTAACTTGCAAAGTTTCCATGACTCAGAGCAGTGCTGTCTAATGGAACTTCTGTGATGGTGGGATGTCCTGTATGTGCACATTTTGTCATGGTAGCCCCTAGCTACCTGTGGTCATTGAGCAACTGAATATAGCTAGAGCAATTGAACAACAGAATTTTAAACTTTATTTAAGTTTAATTTAAATCTAATTTTTGGGCTGGTGCCGTGGTTCACTTGGCTAATCCTCCACCTGCGGCGCCGGCACCCCGGGTTCTAGGCCCAGCTGGGGCACCGGGTACTAGTCCCGGTTGCTCCTCTTCCAGTCTAGCTCTCTGCAGTGGCCAGGAAGGGCAGTGGAAGATGGTCCGAGTGCTTGGGTCCCTGCACCCGCAAAGGGAGACCGGATGGAAGCACCCGGCTCCTGGCTTCGGATCGGCGCAGTGCCAGCTGTAGCAGCCATTAGGGGAGTGAACCAATGGAAGGAAGCCCTTTCTCTCTGTCTTTCTCTCACTGTCCATAACTCTCTCTCTCACTGTCTAACTCTGCCTGTCAAAAAACAATCTAATTTTTAAAAAGTCATATGTGTTTAAAGTCTCTTGTATTGGAAAATGCAGATCTAGGGGAACCTCATAATATAAAATCTTTAAGATAGAGTCATGTGCATCCTAACAGTGTTTGGGTTGTATATATGACAGTGGTTCCATAAGATTACATAATTAGTGAGAGTTTGTGTAAATATATCCTCTGATGTTGGATAATGATAGAATTGCCCGATGACACATTTCTTGGAACATTATCTCCATTGTTGAGTGGTATTTATCTGCCTACATATCCTATGCATGTTCCCAAATTAGTTCTGCCCAATGCAAACTGATTTAAGCAAAACTAGAACATTTTGTATGGTAAAAACTACTGTCAGCTATGTTTTCTAGTGCATCCCATGTCCCAAACAAAGTTAAATAATTTCACAGATTCTGAGAATTAATTCTTAACATAACCCTAGTTTGTTGCTATTAGGTGGGCACGATCATTTTCACCGAACAAGACATCTCTATTACATGCCTCAGGAGCCCACTCCTTCTTCATCAGGGCTCCTGCTTTTGCTTAGAGGACCTGCCTGGCTGAGAACCCAGCTTTCTCTGAGACTCTGCCTATCTTTCAATTAATTTCTGTGGTTTATCTTCTATGCCGGTTTTCTGGTTGTGGGAGATAAAATTCTCTTTAAATGCTTCCAAGAAGGCCCTTGACTCTCAAGCAATGCGTTAAATTGTTGATTAAGATATGAGCCTGACATATTCTCTCTTTAAGTGAATCAGTGGCACTTATAAACATTCACCCGGTGTCATAGTCCTAATAGTTACTCTTTCTCCTTGGCCTCTCAAACCAGAGTCATTATACCAGTTAGTCTTTTCTTCTGCCTTCATCCCATCCCAGCCCACAAAAGATACACGTTCACAACATGACATGAACTATGAATACAACACCTACTACCACTGAGAGGCCCCCTTGCCATCTTGCCAGAGAGTGAGCCTCCCCAGAACTCCAGCCACAGCATCCATTTCTTTTCTTTC